AAAAAAAGCTGGCCAGGCACAGTGGCTCACGCCTATAATCCCAGCACTTTGGGAGGTTGAGGTGAGAGGATTGCCTGAGCCCTCGGGTACGAGACCAGCCTAGGCAACTTGGCTAGACCTCATCTCGACAATAAATCAAAAAAATTAGCCGGGCATGCTGGTGCATGCCTGTAGTTTCAGCTATTTGGAAGGCTGAGGCAGAAGGATCACCTGAGCCCAGCAGGTGGAGGCTGTGGAAGCTGGGAGTGTGCCACTGCACTCCAGCCTGGGTGACAGAGTGAGACTCCAACTCAAAAAATATGTATAAGATAAAAAAGCTGACTCTGTGAGGCTGGGGGCTGCGGGTGGGGAGGATAGAAGGAGCCTGGGGTCCTTTGGCCCCCTCCGCAGGCGAGATAAACACCCTCATCACTGATGCACCTCCGGCTGGGTCTTCTGCTGCTGGGACCAGAAGTACTGATCACCACAAGGAAGGCAGAAAGAGACACCAGGTCTGCCACCTGCCTCATAACCCAAGCTGACACCCCTGGCTCACACATGTCCCTTCTTAGAATGTGGCTCTCCTACTCCCTTAAACCGAGGAGGGAGAAGGGGAGGGAGGGAGGCAGAAGCCTGACAGTCAGACCTGCCAGGAACAGTCATCTTTTGTTTCCACGAATATGTCTTGGCATTGGGCGGATATTGAAAATAGTCTGGGCAAGATTTGTAGACACGTGACGGCTACAGGGATACAGGAGGGGCCGAGTTTATCGACAGCAGCTGCACGCGGGCGGATCCACCTTTCCTGGAAAGCAGGCCCGCAGAACGGGGCTCTCTCGGGCGAACACAAAAAACTCAGAGGGTGCCATTTATTTCATCACTTTAATACCGGAAATGCCAGACCAATCAACAGGGAGGACAGACCAGACACAAACGCCTGCGTTCAATACATGAATGGCAGGGTGGCCACGGCTCTGGGCACGCATGCATTTCCTCTTGAGACGGGCAGATGGAGAGTGCAAAAATACCACAACACAACCAGGCTCGGAGGGGTCACGGGCCACGAGGGGCCACGCTTCAGAGGCAATCGGAGGCATTAAATATGGGACCTACATGGTACATGTCACTTCACCGTACGCATAATTTATATATTAAAGGAAAGGAGACCACAGTGTGTGTACGTGCAAGCGGCTTTGGTCAGAGAAGATGAACCAGGGAGGGACAGCCATGCACGGGAAGGGTTGCCTGTCTACTTTCCCTCCACCTCGTGCCCACCTTTCCCACCGAGTCACTTGGGGATCACAAAATAAATTAGCCGGCCTCAGTGCGACCTTGGAAGTTCAGCCTAGTATCCTCAGTGTTGTCCTCTGGGCTCCATGCGGGCAGGGGCAGGGGGCCCTGGTGACAAGAACGCTTGAACCCTGTGTGGCATCACATCCCTGGAAGCCGCCCCGGACAGGACCGGGCTAGGCATGAGGGGAGGAGCGTCGCACTGTCGGGCGGAGGAGGGAGGCTTGACCGGCTGGGCAGGTGCAACGCACTGCCCGGGCCCGGGGGAGCAGGAATGATTGTGGGGTTTCCACTTCTGCAAGCAAAGCTGAGATGGTAAGACAAGCCTGTGTTTCTCTGCAACTGTCCAGAGGCCCGTTCCCTCAGAACTGACTCGCACTGCTGGGGTCGCACTGTAGCAACTGCACGATGGAGGGGTCGCTCTTGGCACCTTTGATGAATTCTTCCAGGGACAGCTTGCCTGTGGGGACAGGAGAATGCGGAATTAGCCAGAGCACACCATTCTTCATACTTGCAAGGAGGATGGGGACATCCCCTTGGGTCAATGTCTTGTGCTTCCTGGAAATGGGATGGTGTCCAGTCTCCATCCACTTCTTCCAGGGCACAAACTTGACGCCTCTAGGGCCCGGGCAACCTGCTGGCCCCACAGGAGACCCGCTTCTAGAAGTGGGACCATGTCCAGTCTGTCAAAAGCCCTTTGTGCTTTCCCTGCAAAAGCATGGAGCAACTCAAAGGACTTACCCAGTCGGAAAGCAAGGTGTGGCTCACGAGGGCAATTTAAATTCTTTTAGCTCACCTTGTGCTTTGCTTGCTAAAATATACGTGCATATGAATTTTGGAGGAATATTAAAAAAAAGAAATATGTGCCCTATGCAGAAAGACCAAGGCATTAGCCTCTAACCCATAAATAATCCAGGGCTGAGAAGGCCACACTGGATGTGTGGTCCCGAGGCCCAGGGCCCCGGAAGCCACGGTCCAGGGCGTGGTCTCCTGCCTGTCAGCTTAGCTGTCCCAGGCTGCGGCCTGGCCTGCTGATCGGGCCTTGAGTATGGTGTCCAAGCTCTGTACTGTACTCTTTGCTGAGTGGCCAGTTCGTCCCTCATCTGCTCTCCTTCCTTCACGGTCCCTGTGTCACCTAGGGTTGGGAGACACGCCAGTGGCTTCTAAACCAAAGTGCGATGGAAATGTGACCTCAGAAGAACGTGTGTTGGTGACAGTCATGCCCTCTCCCAGGACACAGACTCTGGTGACTTGCAGTGGGCTGAGTGGCCTCCTGGAGTGCCTGGCCTAGGGCGGGGTCCCAGGTGGCTGGAGGGCTGAGTTTGGGATGGGGAGGTTTTCCAATTGTCTGCCCCTCTCTCCTGTAATCAGCGAGTGAGCTCACACTGTGGGCATCATGGCACTTGTTCCACGAGGCCACAAGCAAGACACGCCATTTCAGCTCTGCCTGTTCAGAAGTGGCCCCGAGGACACAAGAGGGCACGGCTGGAGCCGCCTTCCTAGTTATCCCTCCAGGGACTGCTTGGCTGGTGGGGGAAGGATGGAGGTTTGAGAGGGACTCTGCATTCTGGCGGCCTGGGCCTTGGGGAGGCCACTCCACACCTCTGGGTTTGAAGTTCCACAGCTGTAAGGTGGAGCCATGAATGCATGGTCTAAGACCGCCGTGGCAAGCCACTGACATCTCCATCTTTCAGGATCTTCATCTCGAAAGCAAGATAATGGGAACACCCATCTCAAAGGTGACTGGGAGAACGCACTTGAAGGGCTCAGCCCAGCATGGGCCAGAGGACACACTCAGTCCATGGGTCCCTGCTATGACCCCAGCCCCCTCCTGCCACTGCTAGGCAGACACCCATTCCTGTGGGTCCCCAGGAAGGGTTCAGGCAGGCTGGCTTCTTCCAGGGCACAGACTTGATGCCTCTAGGGCTTGGGCAGCCTGCCGGCCCCACAGGAAAGCAAACAACACCCAGGCTGAGGGTGGATTAGGAAAGTCTGCCCCTCAGCAGAGAAGGTTTCCAAGAACCTCTGCAGAGGCAGAGAGCGGCTGCTGCCTTCCCACTCTCCTCGTGGCTGGAGAGAACTTTGATAGGCCACTACCTTACCCCCCAGCTCTGATCACTCAGGGCTGTAGGCGGCAGGGGCCTCTGCTCGGCTGTGAGTGAGGCTTCAGAGCCCAAAGTCCCAGAAGCCTCCTTGGCTGCTCCAGAAAGCTCCAAGAACTGTTGAGATGCTGGGGAGCTTCTGAGAGATCCTCTCTTTCCTCCCAGAAGAGAGCAGGTTGGGCAAGGGTGCTCGAGCACAGTCTGTTCCATGGGTGGCGCGGACAAGTTTACAGGAGAGGATGGTTTTAATGATACCTGTGCCCTGGAGAAACCTGTCTGTCCAGCCCAGAGGCCTAGGGGAGCCACATGCTTTCTAGGGTGGCCAGGGAATTTGTGACAATCTATGGGGCACCACTACCACTGTTCCTGAGCAGTCCCCCGAGAAGCCTCAAGGGATGAGGACAGTGCCCCTGACCCTACTCTGGACCTGGTGGCGGCCCCACCTTCTCTGGTATCTCTCTCCCTTCCCTGCCCCAAGCTCTCGGGACAGATAGGTGCCCCAGGCTCACAGAAGGAAGTGCTCCACCCTGGGGGCACATGAGCAAGGGTATCCGTCATTCAAGCTCACAGTCTGGAGGATGCCCTCTGAAGGGTAGGCTGAGTGGAGGCAGGGCGGAATGGCAGGTGGGGGTGGCAGGTGATGGGGGTGACTGCCCCAGGGACACGGTGAAGTCAGCGACAACAGCCACCATTTGTGGAGTGCCAGCACAGTCTAAGAGCTCCAAGGCATCATCTCACCGGGTCCTCACAACCACGTGGGACTGGACTTATCATCCCCATTTAATAGAAGAACAAACAGGTTCGGTTAAGCTGAGGCACAGGGCGGCTGTGTCGGAATCCAGAATCCGTGCCCTGACACACGGAAGGGCGGGGACACATTTTAATCAGTCCAGAGGCAATGCCAGGCGCAAGGCTGTCTTGCTTCATGTGTGAATGTGTTTTGAAAGCTGTGACCTGGATGCCTGGAAGGTTCTTTGCCGCCCACGGTTCACCGAAGTCCTCGCCTCCCTGCAGGACTCTGTGTTGTGGCTCACCTGTGTGCTGTATGTGGGGCCTCACAGAGCATTGTTTGTATGCTCACTTTTCATCTCCAGCACAACCCAGAGCATCTTTTCTTTCTTTCTTTTTTTTTATTTTTTTGAGTTGTCGTCTCATTCTGTCACCCAGGCTGGAGTGCAGTAGCACACTCACAGCCACTGCAGTCTCGACCTGCTGGGCTCAGGCAATCCTTCCACCTCAGCCTTCCAAGCAGCTGGGACTACAAGTGTCCGCTGCCATGCCCGGTTAATTTTTTGATTTATTGTAGAGATGAGGTCTCACCAAGTTGCCCAGGCTGACCTCAAACCCCTGAGCTCAGGCAATCCTCTCGCCTCCACCTCCCAAAGTGCTGGGACTACAGGCGTGAACCACTGTGCCTGGCTCTTTTCCTTTTAATTTATTTAAACAAATTTTTTTAATAGAGAAAGAGTCTCAATATGTTGCCCCGGCTGGTCTTGAACTCCTAGGCTCAAGTGATTCTCCTGCCTGTCTCCCAAGTAGCTGGGATTAAAGGCGTGAGCCACCATGCCAGGCCCAGTATTCTCTTTTATTAATGTCGCATTTCTCTATTGCTCAGCACAGCGAACCAGGTTCTGTGGCTATGCTTGACAAAGCCAGCAAGAACACGGAGGCCCACGGCCACCCTCCCCGCTGGGACCCTACAGACCGCACAGCTCACAAAGAAAACCCTCAGGGCCCAACCCCACCACTGCGGTCCTCTTCACCCCTCCTAAGTCCTGCATGGCTCTTATAGGCAGAGGAGGCAGCAACGCATACCTGCGTTCCTCTTGGACACAGGGGCCACTTGGCAGGGGGCTCAACTCTCAGGACAGTGGTGAGGGGCATGGCCAGCATCTCAGGACACCACCTCCTGGACCCTCTGATCCCACCCCTCCAGGCCCAGGTCCCATGAGCACGCCTGCCTCGCCTCCCCCAAACACACCCATGGGAGTACTGGTCTTCCTGTCTTAAGGGTGAGAGGGAGCCCAACATACCCAGGACCATGAAGCCTCAGGAGGGGCCAGGACACAGCACTGGTGGCCCTCTGCATCCTGCTCTTCCTTTAGCACAGCCACTTCAGATAGGCAGGGGAGGGATGGGGAAAGGGTCAGGGAGGGGCAGGCAGGGAGGGAGGCGGGAAGGGAGAGCCGCAGGAGGCCCAGAAGCTGCAGAGGGGAGGGGGTGACCCAAATACATCTTTGCCACTGTCAGCATGGCACGGACGCACAACCCCTGCCCCGCCCTGTCCCCTACCATCGTTGTTGGTGTCCATCTGCCTGAAGATCTTGTCCGTTCGCTTCTCTGGGGTGGACTCGTCCTCGGGCATTTTCATTACGGAGGACACCATTTTGTAGATAGCCTGCAGAGGGAAGCATAGAGGCGTGTGCTCAGAGACCCCGGATGCTCCTGGAGTGGATGAGGCAAGGAGGGGAGTTCTCCCCTGGCACAGGGACTCACGCAGCCTTTGGGACCCTTCCCTGGTGGGGAGAAGGTTCCTTGCTATCTGCATCCCCATGGATGAATCTCACAGAGTACAGAAAGCCGGACGTGTTTAAGTGAAGTTAAACAGTGCCCCTACTGTGATGGTGGTGAGGATGGGGGCTGGGAGGGTGCCAGCGAGGCGCCTGACGGGTCATCTGGGAGTTTTGAATGCTCTGAGTGACAGTGGTGGTCCTACGGGCAGATGTGTGCAAAATGAGCCATGCTGCCCAGGTAGCTGTGGGTCTTCTCCTATGTGGCTGTTACACCTCAGTTTTTTTTTTTTTTACTTGGAGTCTCACTCTGTTGCCCAGGTTGGAGTGTAGTGGCATGCTGACAGCCACTGCTGCCTCAACCTACTGGGCTCCGGCGATCCTTCCACCTCAGCCTTCCAAGTAGCTGGAACTACAGGCATGCATCACCATGTCTGGCTAATTTTTTTTTTTTGCTTTATTATAGAGATGAGGTCTTGCCAAGTTGCCTAGGCTGGTCTCAAACTCGTGGGCTCAGGCAATCCTCTCACCTCAGCCTCCCAAAGTGCTGGGATTATAGGTGTGAGCTACTGTGCCCGAATTACACCTCAGTTTTAAGAGATCTGAGCCCCTGGCCGTCAGGGAGAGCTACAGTGACATGACAGGACATGGGTAGTGTTGGGATGTCCACCTTCTCTTCAGGGCACTGCCATCGAGGGCTCAGCAGGGCTGGCGGCCTCCCTCTGTGTCTCTGCTAGAGTGGCTCAGCCCAGGGCAGATGCCGCGTGCTGGCGGTGGGGGTGTGTGTGGGGGAAGGGAGCATGGTGATAAGGTATGTGAGGCAGCAGTGGGAGGGGCAGTGCTGCTGTGGGATTTTCTAAGCATTCTCTGTGGAAGAGACTTGACTGGTATTCCTAAAACAACAAAGAGCAGCCCTCATGCCTTTTTTTTTTTGAGTTGGAGTCTCACTGTGTTGCCCAGGCTGGAGTGCAGGGGCACACTATCGGCCACCGCGGCCTCGACGGGCTGGGCTCTGCCTCAGCCGTCCAAGTAGCTAGAAATACAGGCGCAGGCCACGGCGCCCGGCTAGTTTTTGTGTTTTATTGTAGAGGCAAGTTCTCGCCAAGTTGCCCAGGCTGGTCTGGAACCCCCCGCCTCAGGCAATCCTCTCGCCTCCCAAAGTGCTGGGATTACGGGCTGAGCCACCACGCCCGGGCGGCCCTTAGGTCTTAAGGGCAGGGTATTTAAAAACACAAAGCACAAGCCTGGCCCAACCCTGGCCTCGGTCACCGCTCTCGCAAGGCTCTGCCCGGCCGGGGCCTCTCAAGAGCGAGCGCCCCGGCAGCAGCCCGGCCAAGACGGACCCCGCGCGCGGTACCTGCACGATCTCCAGCATCTCGCTGCGGCTGATGTAGCCGTTGCCGTCCAGGTCGTACATGCTGAAGGCCCACTTGAGCTTCTGCTCCAGCTTGCCCCGCGAGGTCACGCTCAGCGCGATGATGAACTCCCGAAAGTCGATGGTGCCGTCGCCGTTGGTGTCGAAGGTGCGGAAGACGTGCTCGGCGAACTTGGAGGCGTCGCCGTAGGGGAAGAAGTTGGCGTAGATCTTCTTGAACTCGTCCACGGTCAGGTGGCCGGTGGGGCAGTCCTTGAGGAAGCCCTTGTACCACTCCTGCAGCTCGTGGTCGGTGAACTCCGTGTTCTCGCGCAGGTCCTGCAGCACCTCCGGCCGCAGCTTGCTGTTCTGCTTGCCCATGGCGGCCGGCGGCGGCGACTGCGCCTGCAAGACGGGGGCAGCGGCTGCGGACGTCGGGGCCCAGC